AAAGTAAAAAACGAAATTGCCCATATTTTGATTGCCGGAATAGTCGCGTGCTTGCCAGCCGGTGAGCATTTGATTGGCCAACGAACTCAGGCCCTTACTTGAGACTAATTAGGTACTTCGGGCTCTTATTTGAGACTGATTGGACACTTTAGGCCCTTATTTGATATTATGTCCACTTTGGATCCTTTTTTAAGAAAATGACTCCACTTTGAGTACTGATTTGAAATTTTCCCTAAAAAGAATACAACCATTAGCTTCGAAATTATTTGAATAATTTATGGCAACAAGTCCGTAGAACTGCCACCTGAGTGTTCATGGACAAAGAATTTTTTAAGTTTTGAAAACAAGTAATAAATGAGAAGATAGGAACCCAAGATATTGATCGGTGAGTTAGCCGACAAAAATTTTCCCACCTTAAATGCTTTCAAATTCAAAGGTTCATGGCACGAGGTATCCCCATCAGCTCAAATGGTTCTCCATACAGAGTTTAGTTTAAAAGGACAAGTCCATGCACGGCCTCAAACTATCAAGAAGACTTCAGTTTTTTCTATCCATTTAAAAAAAAAGAAGAAGCAAAGATGGCAAACCCAATCCAAAAGTATATATGGAAATCCAACTCGTATTTTTCGGCATAGTCAAATGTGGCATGGATTTGGCAAAAATTGCATCACTATATAACATATATATAAATATGTATATATATATACATATATAGAATTACAAATTTGGAATCAGGTTCATTTTAGTTTACATTATTTGTAATCAAGTTTAATTGTATTCTCCTCCTATATATATGGGTCTTCTACTCTTCAGGTGATAATCGGAATCAAAATTCTATATGGTATCAAAGTGAGAGGTCCTGAATTTAAATATTTCTCGATCGTATTTGCCTTATCTATTACATATTTTCACGCTTTAATCTTCGTCAAAGTCCAGATTACGCGTGAGTGAAAGTGTTAGAATTACTAATTATTATACCACACTTTTATTTAATAGTTTAAGCTTTCAAAAAAGTTGATTGTGGTCTCTTAAAATCTTATATAGTATTAGAACAATCGTTGTTATCTGAGGAAGCATCCATCAAGTCTGTTCCACGGTGGTCGTAACAACGCTAACCTCACCGACCGCGTTTTTTCCATCGGTCCGCAGCCTTAAGCTGTTGTTTCGACACCAATCCGCTGCTCATCTCAAAAAATAAATACTACCACCAGACTCACCACTATCAGACGAACCAGATCTTGAAATTTTGTCATGAAAGGTTGTCGGACGCTACCTCATGCACTATCACATGTCGCTATGCTAGGATGCACCGAGCCCGACACCTTTGAGTGCTGATTTCGACACTTTCCACTGCTTGTTTTGAAAAATAAACACCACCATGAACCTCATCATGCTCCAACAAGTCACATACTAGCGATAATGTGTGAATCATTGCCTAACGTGCCCTTACGCGCTGCTAAAAGCCTCTCTACACATGAGATCCACACGCGTACACACCTTTGGCATGACTAGCCGCGTAGAGTAACATCATCATCACATGCCATTTGTCAGTCGACTCCATTATGTGATTGCTAATGTCATCCACCACAACATTAAGACATATCCTCTACCATGTCAGCGTCTTGCCACGTCAACAGTCCACGTCAGCGTCCAACCATTAGTCGTTGACCGAGACTATTGACTGGTGTTGACTGTCGTTGACCACCATTGACAAGCATTGACCAAATCGGTGTGGAAATACATATGTCAGTTATGTTAAAGAAATTCCATATCATAGAATTAGTGTGGCATGGAACAATTAATATATCATAATTCACTCATAACTCATTAGCTTAAATTTATGAGTGAAGTTAGGTCCAACTAGATATATTGACGGGTTTCGAACTCACTCTTGGCAATCTCCCAAATGAAGGTATTGAGATTCTGCTGCGCTCCCAAAAAATGGTATCAGAGCGAATGGTTGATTGGTGCTCCACCACTAATTTGTTTCGGTGTTGGATGAATATCTCGAGGAAAGAATCTGGTGACTAACGCGGTTCACTGATAGAAACTGGTGACCAACGTGTTTCCAAGCAGTGGGCATTGTGGTGAAACAATGCGGGCCCAATGGCGAACTTCATGATTCGGTTTGGAGAAAGAGACTGGGGCTGAAGTTGGGCATTGATGGAGATTTAAGTTTGGGATATCCTGATGCTCAGGATACTTTTGTTTTTGGCAAGTACTTGAGGGACTCCAGTGATTGTAATATCCACTGTATTGTGATTGTAATATCTACTGTATCGCTTAATCTATAGTAGAATCATATATTACTCTTCTTGTGAAATAAGTCTCACCGACTGAGCCATGTAAATTTGTATCCAAATTTATATTCTGATATCCATTGTATAGCTCAATCTATAGTAGAATCATATACCACTCTTCTTGTGGAATAAGTCCCTGCGACCGAACCAAGTAAATCTATATCTAAATTTACATTTTTTTATGTTGTTCGATCGCTTGTCTTTTGCATTAGTAAGCATATTCCTCAAGCATGTCTCATTGTTAGCCATTTTTTCCTTGAGAAGTTTTCTTTATTTATTTGACTAAGAAAATGTGTGGGTGAACTACTGCCTAAGAAGACTAATGGTTCAGCAAAGTCTCAAGAAGAGTTTAAGAAAACAACAATAACAAATTCCATTGTACCTAGAGAAAATCCACCAGAAGACAATCAAGTAATATGCTAGTAAAGAAGCAATAATGTCTTTCCCTCTGTAATCTAAAACCCTAAGAATCACAAAAGAGTCTTATCAGCTGCAGCAAGACAAGATTGTCTCCCTTGAATAGACCAGGAAATCTTCAACTTGATAGCAAAAGTGATGGATTGAAACTCTTTATAGGCTTAAAGATCAATTTGTCATGCCTAACCTCATTTCTTCCATGCTTTAGATGGTACATGGTACCATTCCATACAAGACTCAATAAGAGTTTAGCAAAAGACTTGCATTTACAATGTTGTAATGCCTAGGGCAGTTCACAATCCCAGTCACACTTACCCACCAAGATTTAAAATTCTACTCTAAACATTCTTCAAAAAGGTGCAATCCAAAAATAGATGGAGCAAAGCTTCATGGGACATATACAAAGCATCCAAGTCCCATCGACACCCTTCCACTTCTTTACTCTAACCAATGTTTGGAGCTTTTTCAGAATAACCAACTAGCATATGGAGCAAAATGTGGGGATATTTGGGTGAAACCACAGTAGTTTAGGCCAAGCTACAATACGTTTTTTACTCCCTTATCACATTTCAATAGTCAATAGAAGGAAAAAAGCCAGATTTGGTGCTTGTAAATATCAACCATCGGCCGATTAAGGACAAGGAACCAAACAGAACACGAAGTAGTCAGTACATGAACGAGAGCATCTGATCTGGTAGGAGGCCAATTCCATCCATGATTCATAGACTCATCCTTAAGCAAATAGGAGTATGTCAACTATCCATATGGAACCACATTTTAAGAGAAGCCTCCATAAACTCTTTAAGGCACGAGCAATGTTCCAAATTACTAACTTCCTAAGCCCTAGACCTCATTCACACATAGGCATGCAAACGTCATCCCAAGAGACCTTGGCACCTTTAACAACATTAGGTTCTCCTTTCCAAAAGAAAGCCCTACATTTATGTCCAATCATCCTTATGCCCTTTTCAAGGAGAATGACCATTTGGCACTGGAAGTTGGTAATGCCAAAGATAACTGCTTAATGAGCTGAAATTGTCCAGCATATGAAAGGTATCTACCTATCTATGCTTTCATTCTTGAAGTAACAACATCAACCCAAGGTTTACAATCCTTATCACTTAGTTTACCTGACATTAAAGGAAAATCAAGATATTTGACAAGCAAAACACCTCTTTGAAATCCACTCGACTCGACAAATTCAACACCTTGCGCATGATTATATCATGCTAAGAAGATTTTAGTCTTTTGAGAATTTAGCTTTAATCCTGAGAGACTATAGAATTTGGACTCTGATACCATGTTGAAAATATGATTGAGCACGGAAGCATTATTTCAATATCGATGATAGTTCAATGGACTTGAGACTAGCTGTGAAGGACCCTAGCCTGGTTGTTAAGGACTAGGGTACAAGCACCAGCATCCCCGAGAGCCTCAATGGACCAAGGCTAGAGTGTCAGGAATTGAGCCTGAGCGCCAGGGTCCCACTCTCAACCTTTATGGACCCAGGCCCTAGTGTTGGGGATCTGAACACGAGCACTGAGATCTTGGGCTTGGCCTTTATGGACTCCGGCCAATGCGCCAAGAACTGTGCATGGGCACCGGATTCTCGGTTTCTGCTTTCATGGACTTGGGATCGGTGCTGTGCTCTTGCTTGCCTAGGTCCTCAAACCTTGGGTCGAGGTCTATCGAGGCTAGACCTGGGATCCCAGTGCCCGTGTCTGGTCCCTAGGCTACTCGTGCACAATCACTATCGCCCAAATAGTCTGTGTATTTAGTAAAATCAAATTGCATTTTCCTTTTCAAATGACGAAAAATATTTTTCAGTTCTTTTTCAGATTTGAGCATAACATCGGAAAATATTGTCATTTTCTTAAAAAAAAATGACTTCTTAAAAATATATTCTAGATATGTAACAATTTTCATCAAACAAATGGAACCGAAGCGAAGAGGCGGAGAGAGCAGAGAGGGTGCCGGAAACGGAGGGGAAAGAGAAGTAACGTAGAGTTTCAAAAACGTCTTTGTTATAAGCATGTGGATTGCGTGCCCCGCGAGATTGTGAGCATGTGGCGTATTCTAGACAATCATCAAGTTCCTTTCCAATTTCTTTTACTTTTCTAAGGTAACAATATCCTCATCAAATTTGATACGCAATAGGTTTGATCCGCTGAAAGGTCAAAAAGTTCAATGCAAAACGGACACCAACGCAGCCAAATTATACGCAACAAATTTGAGTCAGAATCTCTTCTGTCTTTCGACATATATATGTGATCATCGTCTCTATATAAACATATAGCTATATGTGAAGAACCTCCATCAGCAATTTATAACACGAAGCAAAGAAGAAACCATGGAAAACACAATCCTCTATGCGGTCCTCCTCCCTGTCCTCTCTCTGGTTATTCTCTACTTCTTCCTAACAAGAGAACCCAAGAACCTCCCTCCATCCCCTCCTTCTCTCCCCATCATTGGCCACCTCCACCACTTGAAATTGCCCCTTCACAGGACCTTTCACAGCCTCTCCACTAAGTATGGCCCCATCATGACCCTCCGGTTCGGTGTCCGTCGGTTCCTGGTCGTGTCGTCGCTGCCACTGGCCGAGGAATGCTTCACCAAGAACGACATCGTGCTCGCCAACCGCCCCAAGCTGTTCAAAAGCAAGCACCTCGGCTACAACCACACCACCCTCATCTCGGCGCCCTACGGCGACCATTGGCGCAACCTCCGGAAGATCGCCACCATCGAGGTTCTCTCGTCACACCGCCTCAACTTGCTCTCCCACGTCCGGAGGGACGAGATCCGGCGGCTGTTGCTCCGGCTGGCCCGGGGCGGGTTCCAGTCCCACCACCGGGTCGAACTCAAGACTCTCTTCTCAGAGCTGACGTTCAACATCATGATGAGGATGATCGCGGGGAAGCGGTACTACGGCGAGGGCGTGACCATCGACGAGGTCGAGGCAAGGGAGGCGAGGAAGATGATTAAACAGATCGTGGGGACTGGCGGGTTAAGTTACGTTGGCGATTTCCTGCCCATACTAAAGTTGGTCGATTACAATGGGGTCAAGAAGAGGGTGGTGGAGCTGAAGGAGAAGATCGATGCGTTCATCCAGGGCTTGGTCGACGAGCACCGGAGGAAGAAGGGCGACCCAGAGCTCGCGGACAGCATGATCAGTCATCTCCTGCGTCTACAAGAGTCTCAGCCGGAAGACTACTCGGACTTCATGATCAAAGGGCTTGTCTTTGTAAGTGTTGCTTCTTATTCCTATCACTACATCTGTTTTTTTTATTCTAAGCAAATCCTACCCTCCCGTGAGAATACTCACGGCAAAGTTGCCGTGTGTCTTGTCAGTCATCCATTCTTGTCAACTCAACTTGATATGAGTTGTCAGTCGTTGCATTAAAATCTTGTCGAATCGATTCGGGCAATTTTGTCGTGCCAAGAGCCACGGCCGCGTAGATTTGACCGCTTTATGTTGCTTCTGTTTCGAAGATTTAGAATGCATCTCCCCCACAAATGATAGTGATAATCCTACTTACAATGAATGGTGAGAAATCTTAGGTTTCGTTTTTCAATAAACAGAAATACGTCGCACTCTCTCTCAAATATACTAAAATCTTAGATAGTACTACTTTACTGAAAAAATGTGTAACCAGTAGTTGCAATTACTATTGTTGTTTTTCCCACATGTACTATTTTACTCTCGCTCTACCACTTGGAGCAATCCCATTGTGTGTTCTTCGTAGAAAGATAATGAAGTTTCACATGAATTTAGATGAAAACGTGATTTAATAGTCGAATATTGTAACACTCTCTCTCATACTTAGTTTGATATTTTTGACTAGTACTAAGCGTGAAATAATGTAAATTTGAACTTATGACCTTCTATTCTATGTGAGATTTTTGTAATATCACCGTCAACTGTCCTAAAAACTTAGGTTAATATATAAAAACATGATTTAATATTTGAATATTTTAATAGAGCAAAGCAAAAAGGAGAGAGTGATTATGGATGGAAGGCAGAAAATTGGTAGTAATGATTGATTGGGTTGGGTTAATTCGGTTTGGTTTGTTGGATCTGACTTCATTTTCTTAAAAGTTTAGGACTTGATTGCATATTAGGCATAGGACTATTGGTGCAAATGCCAATCTATATATCAAGTTGGGTGTTGAGACTTCAAAGTCTGCATCAAGAGAGTCCAATTTATAATTGAGATTAACTTTCTGTAAAATGTCAACACTCCATTTCTTTTAGATTTTCTTCATGAATACGTATATGTTTATGCACTCACAGGACCATATGCCAATTTTTCCTAATGATTATCTTACTAAGATATATTTACGACATCAAAGAATCCCTTTTAGAACTGCGTTGATCCAAAGTAGTCTAATCATTGGAGAAAAAAAATTAGGTAAAGAAACTGCTTCGTTGGAAGGAAATTTTCATTACTAGGGGGCCTATGGTAAATAAGCTGACTTATTTTGTTTTATTTGTTGAAGTATTAATATCTCAACTCCCAAAGTTGATTTACACAATAACTTCTTGTACATGTGCAGGTGTTGTTAGTTGCGGGAACAGACACGTCATCGCTTACATTAGAATGGATAATGGCAAATTTACTAAACAATCCTGAAAAGTTAAAGAAGGCCCAAGACGAGATTGATTCTGCTATTGGCCATGATCGTCTGGTAGAAGAATCGGATGTTTCAAATCTACCTTACCTTCAATGCATCATCTTTGAGACCCTTCGACTAAACACGACAGCGCCACTTCTTGTCCCGCATGCATCATCGGCTGATTGCAACATAGGAGGATATTTCGTTCCACGTGACACTATTGTAATGGTGAATGCATGGGCTATTCATAGAAATCCTGAGTTGTGGGAGGACCCATTGAGTTTCAAGCCCGAAAGGTTTGAGGGTAGTGGCGGCGAAAAGCAACATAAGCTAATATTGCCTTTTGGGCTGGGACGGAGGGCATGCCCTGGTGCAACCCTCGCCCAACGGGTCATGGGGTGGACATTGGGTTTGCTGATTCAATGTTTTGATTGGAAAAGAGTCAGCAAAGAAGAGATTGACATGAGGGAAGGCCGAGGAACTACCATGCCGAAGGTAGTACCGTTAGAATTAATGTGTAAAGTACGCCCTTTTATGGAGAAACTCGTCCCTAAAGATTGAGTTGGTCGACTAGTTTGTGCTAAATGGTTGGTTGACATGCTGTCAAGTTATATGTAGTAAGAGTCCGCATTCGTTCTTTGACTTTCAGCTTTTGTGTATTTACATAATTTTCTTATTTGTTTTTGAACATTATAGAGGAGGTTCCTAGTGTGAAGAAGATGGTGCTATTGGTGGCTCTTGTACTTACTTGAACCTAGTATTACTTTTCTTGAACAACTTCATCGATTCTGAAACTATAGGTTTAGAGTATCTTTTTTCGTACTTTAATTGTCTCTTGCTGATGCAAGATCTTATCTGCCTTCTTTTTGCAATTTTATTTCTTTTCTTTTTCCCACGTTTTTGCCTTTGTGCAAGTTACTCGTCTTGAATTGTCTTTCTACAAATATAGCACAAGAATTTACTACATCATTTAGCAAATTCCTCAATTTTCTTGTCTTGTTCACAAGCTTATGATGTACATCGGCAAGTGGCAATAGTATTTGCGCCCCAAGATTCCTAGAGTTGATGTAGTTGATCGGGTGCCACATGTGCACATCACATATAAGGCGTACAAAGTGCTCTAGGTCAGGTGTACACTATTTAGGATTTTTACAAAAAGAAGAGCCTAACTTGAATAATGCACTTTGCTCTTTGGTGCACACCTTTCAGGAAAGTGATCAAGCAAATGGAGAAATCATTTCTGCAGATTGAGGTGATCTATAGGGTTTCTAAGGCTACTATAAATGACAATTTTCGAGCTCAGGACAATGAGGAGACCGTTGGAATATCAAAGGCATCAAAAACCCTACTTTAATGAAAGTGCAATTGAGCCCGAATGTTTTGAAAAAAATGTAATCAAGTCCTAAACCTTACCTAGTTAATGCAATCAAGTACTTATGTTAGGGAAAATTGTCCAAATAGTCATAAACATATTGCACTTTTTCCAATTCACTCGTAAACTTTTTAATGATGTTAATTGAATCCTAAATATTTTTACGTTTAGCCAATTGAGTCCATTTGACTAATTTTTCCAGAAAATCGCTGATGTGGATGCCGGCTATTATACGTGAATCGGCTGACATGCGTAGGCTGGTTCTGACATGAACAATTTTTTATAATATTTAAATATTTTTTATAATTTTTTTATTAATTGTTTTTGGAGGAAGTTCCTAGAGTGATGAAGACGTGTAGTGCTAATAGTGGCTCCGTAAATTGTTCTTATATAAACCTAGTAGTACTTTTCTTTAATAAATGTCCTTCTGAAAGTATAGATTTAGTTTTTTTTGTTACTATAATTTTCTCTTGCTAATGCAAGGTCACATGCTTTATTTAATCTGCCTTCATTTCGTAATTTTCTTTCTTTTCTTTCCTCCACGTTTTTGCTTTCGAGCAAGTTACTCTTCTTGCATGATGTTTCTACAGATATATTGTAAGAATATGCATCTTCTCATCTTTTATTGGAGATTAGTTATAGAGAGATAATAATTTGCTAAATTAGTTACATGCTGATGTTTTGAAAATTGAATGCCGTACCCTTATTCAAGTACGGAACAAAATTTTACTACATCATTGAGCAAATTCATCAATTTTCAGGTCTGTCTTACTAGCCTATGATATATTATGGCAAGTAGCAATACTATTTGTGCCCAAAGATTCCCATGGTTGGTATAATTGATTGAATGTAACTTGTTCAAATCACGCGTGTAGCATACAAACTGCTCTAAATCAAGTGTTGGCCCCAAAATTTTTGCCCCAAAGGTCATTATTGCATATGTACGAACTTGGAAGTTATTTCCTACCAAAAAGATTTCCTACCATACATTACATTTGCGTTTGAACATTTTAGTGGCATTTCATGCATGCAACTAAATTAAAAGGTCATATTGTTCAATTTCTGAATCCGAGGATTACTTTGGTCACTTTTCAAGTTTAGGGGTATTATGGTAATTTTATTAAAGAATTAGTCCGAAGTGACCCTGGCCGGTCCAGCCTTGGCGCATGACAAAACTTGAGCCATTGACAAGTACAGCCATTACCAAGCCATGGTTAAGTTGTGGCTCGGCTACAACTAGGCAATGTTGTGGCTTGGCTACAACAAGACAATGCCCAAGCCATGGCCAGGAAGGTTAGCCACCCATGACCACACCCACAACCTGGTCATGGGTTGGTCATGGTTGAGCCATTACCTATCCATTTCTCAGTTTGTTCAGCACCAAGGCTAGACCCGCTAGGATCACTCTGAACCAATTTTTAACAAAATTACTAAATGTAACCATGAACTTGAAACTATAATAACACTTGGTCGTAGAAATTGACCAATATGCCTTTTTTTAAGGTTTACGCATGAAAACCTTCTAAAATGTTCAAACATGAGATGTAATGTATGAAGAAAAATCCTTTTGGTAGCAAATAGATTCCATTTTCTTACAAATATGCAATATTGATCTTTGGGCAAAAGATTTGGGTGTCAATACTTGACCTAGAGCAGTTTGTACGCCTTATATGTGATTTGCACATGTGCACCCAATCAACTACATCAACCTTGGAATCTTGGGGTACGGATACTATTGCCACTTGCCGATGTTCATCATAAGCTAGTGAACAAGACATGCTGAATTTGGTATATGATGTCGTAAATTTTTGTTCAGTACTTGAATAAGAGCACGCAATTATATTTTTAGAACATTAGTTTGTAACTAGTTCAGCAACTAATTATCTCTCTACAATTATTCTCCAATGAAAAATTGGAGAAGGCATATTCTGTTGTGTTTGTAGAAAGATAATTCGAGACGAGTTAACTTGCACGAAGGCAAAAACGTGGGAAAAGTAAAAGAAATAAAATTGCAAAAAGAAGTCAGAATGTGACCTTGCATAAGAAAGAGAATTAAAGTACCAAAAAGAAGAAGATAATCTAAACCTAAAATTTCAGAATTGATAGAGTTGTTCAAGAAAAGTAATACCAGGTTCAAATAAGTACAATCCATAAAGCCACCATTAGCACCATATGTCTTCTTCACACTAAGAACCTCCTCCATAATGTCGAAAACAAATAGGAAAGTGATGTAAACACACCAAAGTTGGAAGTCATAGAATAGATGTCGACTTTTACTACATATAACATGAAAGCATGTCAACCAACCATTTAGCACAAACTGGTCGACCAACTCAATCTTTAGGGACAAGTTTCTCCATTAAAGGGCGTACTTTACACATTAATTCTAACGGTACTACCTTCGGCATGGTAGTTCCTCGGCCTTCCCTCATGTCAATCTCTTCTTTGCTGACTCTTTTCCAATCAAAACATTGAATCAGCAAACCCAATGTCCACCCCATGACCCGCTGAGCGAGGGTTGCACCAGGGCATGTCCTCCGTCCTAGCCCGAAAGGCAATATTAGCTTATGTTGCTTTTCGCCGCCACTACCCTCGAACCTTTTAGGGTTGAAACTCAATGGGTCCTCCCACAACTCAGGATCTCTGTGAATAGCCCATGCATTCACCATTACAATAGTGTCACGTGGAACGAAGTATCCTCCTATGTTGCAATCAGCCGATGATGTATGCGGGACGAGAAGTGGCACTATCGTGTTTAGTCGAAGGGTCTCAAAGATGATGCATTGAAGGTAAGGTAGATTTGAAACATCCGATTCTTCTACCAGACGATCGTGGCCGATAACGGAATCAATCTCGTCTTGGGCCTTTTTTAACTTTTCAGGGTTGTTTAGTAAATTTGCCATTATCGATTCTAATGCAAGCGATGATGTGTCTGTTCCTGCAACTAACAAAACCTGCACATGTATAAGAAGTTATTGTGTAAATCAACTCTGGGAGTTAAGATATTAAGACTTCAAATGACAAATAAAACAAAATAAGTCAGTTTATTTACCATAGGCCCCCCTGTAATGAAGATTTCCTTCCAACAAATCAGTTTCTTTACCTAATTTCTTTCCGATGATTAGACTACTTTGGATCATCGCCGTTCTAAAAGGGATTCTTTGATGTCGTAAATTTATTTTAGTAAGATAATCACTAGGAATAATTGGTATATGGTCGTGTAAGTTCAAAAACACATACGTATTCATGGAGCAAATCTAAAAGAAAAGAGTGTTGACATTTTATAGAAAGTAATCTCAATTACAAATTGGACTTTCTTAATGCAGACTTTGAAGTCTTAATAGCCAACTTGATAAATAGATTGGCATTTGCACCAATAGTCCTATGCCTAATATGCAATCTAGTCCTAAACATTTAAAGAATTGAAGTCAGATCCAATTTGAAAAACTGCAATCAAACCAAACCAAATCAAACCAACCCAATCAATCATTATTACCAAAATTTTTGCCTTCCATCCATAATCACTGTCTTCTTTTTCTTTTGCTCCATTTGATAATTGACCCCTTTATAAATAGGAAGGTTTTGTTTTTTAGGGTCAATTAATTCAGGCAAAGTCTGGTCAAGCAGATTCGTGGGTAAGCCAATCCCAGAAATCCACATCCATATCTGCTCCTTTTATGAACTCCCAAAATCAGAAAAATTTGGACCTTTAATCTAAATCTATGTGAGACATCATTATCTTCTACGAAGAACACTGAATGGGATTGCTCCAAGTGGTAGAGTGAGAGTGAATTGCCCAGCACCACAAACATCAGCCTAGTCAAAATGTCAGTCTCGAGGAAAATTGACAATACATGTGCGAAAAAACAACGACAGTGACTGCAACTACGGGCTACACATTTGTTCAGTAAATTAGTACTATCTAAGATTTTAGTTTATTTGAGAGAGAGCGCGATATATTTCTGTTTATTGAAAAACGAAACCTAAGATTTCTCACCATTCATTGTAAGTAGTATTATCACTATGATTTGTGGTGGAGGTGCATTCTAAATCTTCGAAACAGAAGCAACATAAAGCGGTCAAATCTACGCGGCCGTGACTCTGGACACGACAAAATTGCCCGACTCAATTCAACGACTGTGACAACTCATATCAAGTTGACGAGAATGGATGACTGACAAGACACACAGCAACTTTGCCGTGAGTATTCTCACGGAAGGGTAAGAGTTGCCTAGAATAAAAAAAACAGATGTAGTGATAGGAACAAGAAGCAACACTTACAAAGACGAGCCCTTTGATCATGAAGTCCGAGTAGTCTTCCGGCTGAGACTCTTGTAGACGCAGGAGATGACTGATCATGCTGTCCGCGAGCTCTGGGTCGCCCTTCTTCCTCCGGTGCTCATCGACCAAGCCCTGGATGAACGCATCGATCTTCTCCTTCAGCTCCACCACCCTCTTCTTGACCCCATTGTAATCGACCAACTTTAGTATGGGCAGGAAATCGCCAACGTAACTTATCCCACCACTCCCAACGATCTGTTTAATCAGCTTCTTAGCCTCCCTTGCCTCGGCCTCGTCGATGGTGACGCCCTTGCCGTAGTACCGCTTCCCAGCGATCATCCTTGTCATAATGTTGAACGTCAGTGTTAAATATGTCTTGAATTTTATGTACTCGGTCCGGTTCATCACCCGACCCGACATATTTTTGCTAATTGAGTCTATTCGGCCGATTTTGGCAGGATATCACTGACATGGATGCTAGATTTGGCACTGTCGGCGCTGACATAGACAATTTTATAATTTTCTTTAAATTTTTATTTTTCTTTGTGCCGGCGAGGATCATTGGCAACCTTTACCGGCTGCAAAGGCCTTGCCTACACTAGGTGAGGGCCGACTTAAGAGCTATCGATGGCATCGTGAAGGCCCTCGCCAGATCTAGGTAAGGGCTACCTCACCCGCGATTGGTGAGGCCACGATGGCATCACCTAGGGCCTTCGCGTCCGACGAGGGTCGCCAGCACAAGAAAAAAAAGGAAAAGAAAATTAAAAAATTGGAAAAAATATAAAAATTATTCACATCAACGCATCAACGCCAGTGGTGTCACGTACGACGATTGGTATTCACGTTAGCGATTTCCAGATAAATTGATCGGATAGATTCAATTGGCAAATCAGCAAAATATTTAGGACTCAATTAGTAAAATTGAAGGGTTCATGACTGAATTGATTAAAGCGTAATAGGTTTGTCGACGGCTGCACGGGGAAGAGGCGGATCAAGCACCTCAGAACGCACTCAATGACGACATCCGCAATGCGTCATACAAGACATCCTGGGGAGAAAAGGAAAGAAAACTCAGAAGGCGGATCAAGCACCTCAGAACGCACTCAATGACGACATCCGCAATGCGTCATACAAGGCGTCAAGCACCAGCTGGTCCTTGGGAGGAGAAATTTGATCCGACTTTTTACATGTTACCATCGAAAATCGGAATCAACGAATGGCTTCAGATGGCAAGTCGATCTTGATGAATTTGGATAGTGATGGAGCGTGAAGCTTTTCGACCATGGCGCGGAATAATTTCGCTTGTCATTTGGTTCTCTGAGTAGAATGCATGGATGGATTTTAAAGGAAAGAATACATAATTTCGCTGCCCTTTTTTATTAACGGTCCCATTATTCGCGAAAATGGCTTATTTCAATTTGATGTAGTAAAATTAGGAATTTCCGAGTTCACTATCAAAATATTAAAAGAATAGTACATGCAATTCAATTCTCATAGATTAAAATACTATAAATATTATTATAATAAGTATTTATCTCCATGCATAGCTTAAGAAGGGAAAATGACATAAATGGTCCATAAACTTTGGCTCAATATGCAATATGATTCCTGAACTTTTACTTTGTTCAATATAATTCCTGAGTTGTAGTCCAATGTGCAATGTGATCTTTGAACTTTTAATTTATTTAATGTTGTCCCTATACTATTGGTACATGTTTAGAATAGTCCCTGAACTATATAAAAATGTTCAATATTGTCCTTCCATTAATTCAAGTTCAAGGACAATATTGAATATTTTCATATAGTTTATGGACTAAGTTAAACACGTACTAAAAGTCCAAGGAGCATATTGAACAAATGGACCTCATTGCACAATGGGTAAAAGTTCAGGGACCATATTGAACAAATTGAAAGTTCAAATATCATATTGCATATTTGACTAAAATTCAGGAATCATATTGAGATTTGTTTCAGCTTAAAGCAATCATATAATTGTATAATTATCTCTACAAGGAGTTTCTTGACCAATATGTATGGGACAAAATGCTTTAGTATGGAAAAAGGAAAACAATATCTGTCATTGGGTGTGTGGTTGCATCAAATCCATCTAATGGGAAGCGATACTATCTTCGGTTACTTTTCAATAATGTAAAAGGGCCAACCTCATTTTAAAACTGAGGTTTGTTTGTTTCGCTGAGAACTTGTTATGAAAGTGTAATTGAGTTCTAAAATTTTTAAAAAATGCAATCAAGTCTGAAAGCTTGTCAAATTAGTCTAATCAAGTCCTTCCATTAAATGCACTTTTTCAAAAATTTATTCCAATTAGTCCACATTTTGATCTATATAGTTCTCTAATTTCGAATGGGTTCTAAATACATAAAAGTGAACTAAAATTATAGAACGTGGTTTGAGTTTGTAGAGGTGCCCCGCAAGATTATGAGCATGTGGCATATCCTAGATTATCATCGAGTCCTTTTTCTTTTCTTTTGGTTTTCTAAGGTAACAAATCCTCATCAAGTTTGCTACGCCAAATCATAGTCAACGAATTTCCATCAAAATTTCTTTCTCCGTCTCTCTCTCTCTCTCTCTCTTATGTCTATACTGCTATAAATACAGTCGCAAATGACCAACATCCACCACAGATCATTCAGTACACAAAGCAAAAGAAAAGAAAAATGGCAGACGCCACTCTCTATGTGATCATCGTCTCTTTGCTCTCTCTGATCATTCTCCACTCCTTCCTAAGAAGAAAACCCAAGAACCTCCCACCAGGCCCTCCTTCTCTCCCCATCATCGGCCACCTCCATCTCTTGAAATTCCCCTTGCACAGGAGCCTCTACCACCTCTCCAACAAGTATGGCCCGATCATGTCCCTCTGGTTTGGGTCCCGCCGCGTTGTGGTCGTATCGTCGCTGCCGCTGGCCGAGGAGTGCTTCACAAAGAACGACATTGTGCTCGCCAACCGCCCCAAGCTGTTTTTTGGCAAGCACCTCGCCTATGACAACAGCACGCTCACCAACCTGCCCTATGGGGCGGAATGGCGCAACCTCCGTAAGATCGCCACCATCGAAGTCCTCTCCACGCATCGCCTCAATATCCTCTCGCGCATCCGGAGGGACGAGGCCGAACGGCTGATGCTTCGGTTGGTGAGGAATGGGTTTGGGGACTTCCACCGGGTCGAACTGAAGACCCTTTTCATGGAGCTGACGTTCAATGTCATCATGAGGATGATCTCGGGGAAGCGGTACTATGGGGAAGGCTTGAGCGTTGACGAGGCCGAGGCGAGGGAGTTCAGGGAGATAATCGAGCATATTGTTGGAAATGGCGGCACGAGTTATGTGGGCGATTTCTTGCCCATATTGAATTGGATCGATTACAAGGGGTTCAAGAAGATGGCAGCGGAACTGGGGAAGAGGGCCGATGCATTCATTCAGGGTTTAGTCGACGAGCACAAGAGAAGGAAGGGCGATCCGGAGTTCGCAGACAGTATGATTAGTCATCTGTTGCGTTTGCAAGAGTCTCAGCCGGAGAACTACTCGGACTTGATGATAAAAGCGCTCGTCATCGTAAGTCTTGCTTTATTGGCTCTCTTCTATTCTTGCTACGCTAAATTTGCTACTATAATTTGGAGCATTAGAATGGACCTAGACCACAACCATTACTACTAGTTGAAGTAAAAGGAAATCCAGGAAAACATTATCAAAGGCATATACTTTCGTTCTGGGAGATTATTAGATAAACTAAGCTTAACTGATTATGAAGAGCATGTGTTGCTAATGAAGGGAAATTTGATATATAAAACCAAAGTGACGTGCACGCAGACCAAAAGTGACGTGCACGCTTCCCTCCGTTGGGACATTTGAGTGCCTTAAGTGGAGTTTGGGTCAAAGCCAATAGGCTATAATGGTCAATCCATGTCCAAAACCCAACAGATAGTCCAGTGTAAACGTACGTAATATTATGTCGAAATCTTATTATCTCGGTTCCCAAAACAAGTTTAGACAATAACTTTCGATATGCAGGTTATGTTAGTAGCGGGAACAGACACATCGTCTCTTACGTTAGAATGGGCCATGACCAATTTACTGAACAACCCGGAAAAATTGGAAAAGGCCCAAGTCGAGATCAATTCCATCATCGGCCACGATCGTCTGTTGGAGGAATCGGATGTTTCAAAGCTACCTTACCTTCAATGCATCATCTTCGAGACCTTACGCCTAAGCACAACCGTCCCACTTCTGCTCCCGCACGAGTCATCGGCTGATTGCACCATAGGAGGATACCTAGTGCCATGTGGCACTATAGTGTTGGTGAATGCCTGGGCCTCCCACAGAGATCCGGAGCTATGGGAGGAACCCACAGCCTTCAAGCCCGAGCGATTCGAGGGTGGTAACGGCGAAAATCACCGGAAGCTAGTTCTGCCATTCGGGTTGGGACGGAGAGCATGCCCCGGCGCACCCCTAGCTCACCGGGTCATGGGTTTAACGTTGGGCTTGTTGATTCAGTGCTTTGATTGGAAAAGAGTGAACAAAGAGAAGATCGACATGACCGAAGGCAAAGGACTCACCATGCCAAAAGTAGTGCCGTTGGAATTAATGTGTAAAGTACGCCCTCCCATGGAGAAACTCGTCCCTAAAGATTGATTCGGCCGACGAGTTTGTCACGAAATGGTTGAGATGCTATTTGTTATATAGTAAGAGTCCCACACCTGTCCTACGGTTTTCATTTAGTATATATGCTTTATTGTAATAAAACTCTGTATCGGGGTTTCCTAGTTTTAGGAAGATGCATGAATTGGTTCTTGTGTAAGCCTTACTAAAGTTGTTTTCTTGAATAATAAGGCATTATTCTGAAAGTAGAATTTGAGTATATCCTGTACTTCAATTTTCCTCTTGCTAACGGCAGGTCACATGCCTGTCGAATCTGCCTTGTTTTCGAAATTTCTTTCCTTTTCATTTTCTTTCCACATGTTTGCGATGGTACAAGTTTTTCATAGATATAATCTGAAATTATGCTTCTTCCAATCATTTTGGAGATTAGACGTGAAAAGAGAGATAATCAGTTGCTGCACTAATTTACTTACCAACTCGATTAATAGAGAATATCGACATATTCTAGTGTTCATCTTATGAGGGAAAAATCGCGTCCTTTCGCTGGAAAGTCATCTTGGCTCTTCACAAGGAGAAAGTATTTCAGACATCTGGACCTTGGGCCCAATAAGCACATAGAAGGCATGCAGTACTGAAAAGCAAGATTATCAACTCGCAAGGAAAGGACAGCTTACTCTGCAGCAATGTTGTGGCAGGGGTAAGCATGGTTTCAAGGTAAAATAAAAAATCGGAGAATTGGACCGA